TTTCCTCTTGCGGATTCAAAAAAAAAGGGGGTTCCCTAAATAAACATCCGAATCGCCCATGAATCTCAATGTAACGACCCTGATTTTTGGTAAATAAAAATTTCGTTAAAAATTTGAATTTTATTACTTGGATTTTTATTTTCATAACCAAAAATCCGTCGTTACTGACTAATAAAAATCTCGTTTATTCAAAAATTCTTTAAATCCTCTTGGATAGCCTTATAAATTTCTTATGATTAGAATTTTAACTTACAAAATCGGTTTTCACCCCACCGATTAACCTAGTCATTTTCTAAAGACAAGTGTGCCTATAAAAGCACTAATATATTTTCCTAATAATTGAAATAGAGTCTTAAAAATATATTTCTTGGCTAGAAGTTCTTCTTGGCAAAGTATAGTTAGTTTTTAACCAACGAGTTAGAATCCTAATTACTTTTTTGCCTAATTACTTCTTCCTAACCCTTGGTAAACTTATTGAACTTTTTGAACCTTTGACCTTTAACCATTGGTCGATCAATGTTAGGGTAATCTTTACCCATTGGACAATGAGAACCTTAGTTTAATCCACCAAAGTACATGACTAGATATAATATTATATAGTGATATATACACATGATTAAAAGTATATATATACTTTTACAAGTATAGTACTTTCCACTTTGGACCATTGGTCAATAAATGTTAGGAGGATTATTATTCATTGGTCTATAAGGTTAAGTCTTACCAATGTACTAGGCTTTATTAGTTTATTTGTTTCTTAGATCTACCATGTGCTTAAATACTTAAAGTATTAGATATGGATATCTTATCCTAGGATTCTATGTACCCTAATATAGTTTTATAATAAGACATGTGCCAATTAGACTTAATTTAATAGAAAATCTTAATTGGAAGATCTTAAAAGATTATATTAGCTTATTACCCTTTGGTCCATAAAAGTTAGGGAAATTGTTACCCATTGGATAATAGAGTAAATCTTTCAAAAGTACTAAGATTTATTATTTTACCAAAATCCTAGATTTAAGATTTTATGACTAAAATATATGTTGTACTTGTACCAAAGCCTTAAAGTATTAGATTTTCTAAGTACCTATTATCTAGTATTTTAATAAAGAACATGTGCATAATTGCATTGTTTATTTAAAAAGACTAGCATAGTACTTTATCCATTGGGTAAAGAATGTTAGGGGAATTATTACCCATTGGTTAATAACCGCTAGGAGAACCATTATCCATTGGACAATAGCTAGTCTTGCCAACCAAGTACTAAGATATAATAAAATAGTAGATTTTCCATGTGGGTAATTGATTAAATTAGATATTAGTACATAGATTGAAATAGATGTAAGGACTTAGTACTTTGGAAGCGTTGAATTAGTTTATTAGGAAAGTTAGATTTGATATATCTAGTAGATTTTGAAGTACATGCTTATATATATATATATATATATATATATATATATATATATAAATACCATGTGGGTAATTGAGTTTAAATTGGAAAAAATCCTTTTGCTTGTAAAAGTATTAGATATCCTAGTACACTAATACATTATTCTATATGTATACTTTCAAGCAAATATGAATATATATATATATAGTACAAGAGAGAGAGAGTACCCGAGAGAGAGAAAGAGGAAGGAGAGAGAGATGGTACCTTGATTGACCTTCCTTGTGCCTTCAATGTACCATTAATTGCATACAATCTATGAAAGCACAACCTTGGAAGCAAAATCTATGCTTTCAATGTACAATTTGTACATCTCCCATTTTAATACTTGTTCAAATCCTCCTTTCTTCACTCAATCTTCCATAATTCCATCCTAGTACAACCAAATCTAGGTTTTCTATGCTTTCAATTACTAAGACTAGACTAGAAACCCAATTGAATAACCTAAAATTGTCCTAGAACTTTGAGTGCAAGGAAAGTAAGATCTTGGTGTGTTTCCAATGCATGAGATGACTAGATTTTGGAGCAAAATCCATTGGACAAAGAGAGGAGAGAGGGCCAGCCAAGAGAGGGAGGGCGAGCCCATGCTTTGCCTATAAATAGCACCTCATTTCTCTCATTTCAACTCACACCTTCCATAGTTCACTTCTCTCTCTAGAAAGTTAGTATTTTTGCTTATTATTGCTTAGTTCTTCTTGTTCTTGAAGTTCTCTCTAGTTCTTCAAGAAACTCTTGCATAGCCGCCACTAAACCACCACTCGACCACCATCTCGATCCAAAAGTAGTAGTAGTATTAGTCAATACTTAGCTTCGAGAGAAACCTTTCTCTTTCGAAACTACCGGAAGCTCACCGTAAGCCGTTACTCCGCCCAATCCTCGACGTACTTTCCATAGCCTTTACTACCGCCAAAAAGAACGGTAGAGTTCTTCAAACCTACTTCCCTAAGTATAGAAAGCTATGTGTTTAGTATGATCTTGTTCTACGTAGTTTACTTTGATCTTAAGAATACTTGAAAGCATGATCTTGAGAATGATTGATTGCATGACTTT